ACTGTTGGTCTCACTGACAGTGCTCTTGAAATGTCAGTGCACCTTTTGGCAATCTCCAGAGTTCACAGTCCCCTGCCTATAAATATAGGTATTCTTCTGTGCTTATGAAAACCTTTAAAGAATGCAAACCCTAACTTGAGTAGTGAGTTCTTAGGCAGGCATCTTGTGGTAATGGCTTTTTGGGTCAAACTTGAAGACTTTCCATAAAGAAAACCATTGTCTAAATAAATGAACGCCGAAAATCATATTCAGCGAGGAATATTCCTTGATGAAGGATATCTAAAAATTATCCTTTAAACAAGCTCTTCCATAAAGTATTTTGCTGATAGATGTCCACGGACTTTCATTATTCTAAGGTTATTCCAAAAAAATTGGAACTTTGGAACGGCGTCTTCACTTTCCTGAAAAAAGTAGGTTATATTGTTTCTGCTACAAACAAAATACTTCCCTTATCGCTGTATACTGGAGCCAGTTGCAATATATTCACCTATATTTTTCGACTATAAATATACAACGGAGTAACTCCCTTAATATGCCAAAACTCGGCTGTTCCGCCTCCAACCTACGTGTTAGCGGAAACTGGACTATTTAGAAATTTTCTTGCCCTAGGCTTAAAGGTTAACTTGTCCTACTTATGGGCCTTTTCGTGGTTACGTAAGTAGTATTCAGAAGAGCTAGGGAAATATAAGAAAAGTCAAATGAAATATGGTCTGTAGTCGTCGTAATTACTGCTTTGGAATCACACAGATTTAGAAGTCTGACTTTTTTAATCGACAAAACGTCTGGTTTTCCAAACCTAACCGGTTTGTTCACATCCTGCCTCATCTGATGTACACGGAAGTAGAAAAAAATGCTTTGTAAGTGCGGCAAGATTTTTCGCAAAACTTCCGAGTTAAGATTACTCCCCCTCGAAGAAGTACGCTCACGGATGCGCAAACGTAGTCTTGGGGAGAGGCAGGAATAGGAAATTGCACAAAATAAAAAGGCAATGTTGATTTCCACCTAAATCCTTTAACGTACTGGTTGATTCACTAATTTCTAAACCAATTCTGCATGAAAAATGACATTTTCCAGAAAGAGTTAGGCAAATAAGTAAAATGCGCAACGTTTTATATGCCTAAAATGTAATAAAAAGTTGTTTCTTTCACTCATTTTTGGCAAAATGCGTCTTCTTCCAATTTTATATTCCGGGACAGCTTTTTACGGTTTAAAAAACTTTTCTAATTCACAAATAATTGTGAGCCCTATGTGCGACTGCACTTGATCCTAGGGTGTCAAAACCATATGCCATTTACATTCCATCTGAGTAAAATCTCATATGTCTTTAAGCATTTAGGAAGATATTATATAGTACTCAAAAAATTTTACGTTAGTGAAACATTTCTCAAATTAACACTTTTTAAAACCGAAATAGACTCTATCTCGAAGTATAAAATTGGAAGAAGACGTACTTTGCTATAAAATGAATACAAAAAGTATATGTTCGACAATTTTTCAACAAACTATATATAAATTTATAAGGCATATAAAGTTCATAAGAAAAACTATTTTACCTAAACAGGCATTTCTCCCAGAGTTTATTTTTTGCGGGAGAACGGAAAAAAGCTCATTAAAAGCCGACATCTAAAGGTGGCTGTGCTGCACGAAAATTGATTTTAACACCTAACTTAAATGGTCTGTTCGAATCGAAAAATCAATTTAGAAATATCGCTTTTAATTTTGTAGGATAGCAAGCGTACGCCTACAGGCGGGAGAACATTATCGACGAAGACTAGGGAGACTCGAATGGCCATTTCAGACTGATTTGTTGTCATGAGCCAGTCACACGCAATCTCAGGTTTCGTAAACCCTAAGGTTATAATCCGCCGCCTCTTGGTTATCAGTGAGGGGAGATTTAAACGGATTTTAATGTGCGCTTGAGACCTGTTATTAACCAGTGTGTTGTCAAATGTCACCTGAAAGCGTCTGTCCATGGTCTTTATTTGGATCTATGGTTTTTAAGCGCTGAGTATTGCTCCAAATGAATAAATGTCAACAAATACGCTCACAGAGGCAATATGGAACGGCTTTTTTCTCTTGTATTTGATTCGACAGAAGTAGGAACTAGTTAATGAGCATCCAATGGGGCTTTCGAAGATGTCCTCTTTCAATCTCTCCCTCTCGCACTCCATGCAATCTCCACTGCAGTGAACTCTGTGTTTCCACCGTATTCTGTTGCCTCTGCAAGTTGATTTCTGGCGCTTTTGTTCAGTTTCGTACTCCGAATGCCTTCATTTTGCTTCCATTGTCAGCATGTCTAAAACAGACCTGTCTGAACAGGTCTCTGTTCTGCAGTCTTTGTTGAAATATTGGGAGCAACTGTTCGCGAAGCTAGACTTGGCTTTCCCTCCCCCCCTTCGTCCACGTTAATTTAACATAATCATAATTAACAGTTTGCGTGAACAGATGGAAAATGACTTGGAAAATGTCCGATTCGGCACTGACATGATGCCGACTCACACCTCTCGCTGTGCCACGCCCCACCCTC